TATGTTAGGTGACAAAAGAAGAGAAAACAAAATGCTACAGCTGCAGTTAATTGTATAAAGAGTGACACTGCCTGTAACTGTGACTAAAGAACTGAGTGGTATGTAGCTGGCTGGGGCATGCCTGAAATCTCCTCCAGCAGAAGAAAAAAGTGATCCTTTTTGATCCTTTTTCTAACTCAAGCTCTCTTAGACAACATACACCCAGCAAACGGAGACAGATGCCAGCTGAAAATGTCTGTACTCCCACTGTTCAGATGAGAACCTGCTCCTGTCAAGAAGACACATGCTGTGTTTGTGCATTTCTGAGCCCCAGTGGTATCTCAGCATGATTAAGTAGTTAGACTCTGCACTGACCCAAGAAGGTTCTGGTTACCAAAGAAGATCTGCCTTGGATTTTGAGCACAGGCAGAATGAATCAAGTGCACCAGTATCCATCTATGGAGATGTGGCTTTGTTACAAGGGCTGAATACTGATGAACTACTATCATCATGCTTTTAAATTTTTTAAATATTAAAAATACTAATATAGAAAAATGAAAGAAACACTTATGTCACTTTATCAGTTTCTCTTTGTAGTAACAAAGACTGTAGTGATCAAGGCAAAGGTAACAGTTATAAACTAAAATGCCTAAATTATTCACCAAATATATCATGTCAACAGTACAGTGTGTAAATCAAAAATAACTATGCAAAGTGTCTGCCTCAAAGAACTTATGCATCTGTCACAGAATCCTATTATTTTTATCAACATAAATATTACTCTTTCAGAGCATTAAACTCCTACTGTTCTTAACAGCCATTTGTAAATGGCATGTATGCAAATCTCCCTCAACTTCTACCTTCTGGAGACCTTCTAAATCATCATTAACATAATCACTAGAGCTTTGTGTATTGTGAAGCCTCTTTTCTGTATGGATGAAAATGAGGTTGTCAAAGGACCTCTACCTGTGGAAGCAGAAGGAGAATTCTACCTCCATTTAGCTACATAAAAAAGTAGATATATCTGACCCAGTCCTGTACTCCTCTCTCATCCTCTCATCTTGCTAGAAATTAAAAATGAATTATGTTGGCCATATCACCTTGCTTCAGGCAGGGGAATATATGCTTCTCACTTCAATGGGGAATTTTTTGTATCAGTAACATTAGTGGTAGTTTTAGGAAGTAAGTCAGGATTTTATTTACACATCCTGAGTGCTACTTTCTGGCAAGGGCAAAATAATGCATGTAACATCCATCTGACAGCATGATTAATTGTACATCAATCAGTTGTTGTAATGGACGTAATTATAACAGGATGCTGTCTTTTCATCATCATCCTTCTTTCAAAGAGCTTATACAGCTCTGGACTTGTAGAGCAAACTTCCTCACGTTTCTTCTGAGGCAAATTCTTTGGAGTTAGTAACAAAAGAAGTGACAATGGCTGTTAAAAAAGTTACAATGAAGTAATAACATTTCAGTTTACAGAGGCACAGTGAGAATTAAAAATGCTCATGAAGTTCCACTTTGAAAGCAATATTAAACTCTAGTTTTAGTAATATTAGGATATTGAACTGTAATAAAGAAATATTAGACAACACAACTGATTTATCAAATGGGCTAATAAGTGTCTGATCTCTCCATGCTGAGATCTGCTCTCCCTAAGGAAGACACCGATGGAATAGCACAAATGTCTGTAACAAACTGTGCTGCTATAAGAGACATACCAAGTTCCTACAAACATACTTAAGTTCTCACAAACAAGCATATACTAATTTCCCCCAAACCTGTGTCTTGGTATCTAAATGCTGTGTGATGTCTAATACCCTGCAAAGGGCACTAGCTGCCTCACAGCCACACAGAAGCACAGAGCTGGCATTAACACATCTCTCCTGTCACTAGGGAAATCCAGAAGTGAGTATCACTAGCTCCAGGTCATGCTGTGAGCAGACACACGGAACAGGTTTGCTGACAGTAGCACAGTGGTGATGACTGGTGCCTAAGCTCACCAAAGATCCTGCCAGATATTTGCAGGATACAAATGTACAAATGTATGCTGAGACAGAACACTGCACTTTGGTACAGTGTGCCGAAGGGAGTAAGTCAGAACCTAAGGCTTCTTTTGCCTTTCTGATTTTATGGAGCTACACAATATACTTGTCACTGGGTCTCCATATATTAGACTGTCAGCAAAACTCCACAAATGGCTACACACTGGTTTTCCACCACAAGGATTTTTTGAGTAGCATTCAAACTTTGCTTTCTTCCAATAGCTCCTTCATCATGTAGGTTTTCTTTTGCATTGTTTTATGTGCAGAGTTTTTGAGTCACTATGTCCTTGCTAGACCTTTGGAACATAGTAAGTTTGCTTAGCCCTCCTGACAATAACTTGTGGAACCAGGTATCA